AGGAAGGGAGAGGAGAAAGGAGAGGAGCAAATGAAAGGAAGAGAAGGAAAGAGACAAGAAGGAGCAGAGAAGGAAGAACAGAGGACTAGGAGGAGGAAGAGAAGAGAGAGGAAGAGGAAGAGCGAGAACAGGAGAAGCAGGGTCAGAAAAGAAATGGAGGAAGAAGAGAAGCTCAGAAAGGAGAGTACAGAAGCAATGTGAAGAGAAAGGGGAGGAAGCAGATGAAGGAGAATAAAGAATAAGAGGAGGAGGAGGAGGAGGAGGAGGAGGAAGAGAAAGAGGAGGAGGGGGAAGCTGCTGCCTCTATTGCAAGACCACCACCACCCGAGAGGGCAGCTATGCAGAGATGAGAACTCAGTGTTTAGTAAGGCACATACAGCTCTGTGCTGACCTTGCTTTTAGACAGAACAGGCATTTTGTGGCAGGTACTTCGGAGACGAGAGCCCAAAGCTAATATAATAAAATCAAAGTTGAAGCACACTTGGGGACATGTCAAGGAACTTAAGAAAAAGAGAGATGAGTCCATTCTTGGTTAAGTAAGAGACCAGGCATAAACTGGCCTGGTCCATTTCTCCTTTGGCCATCAGGCAGCTGGTACTCAGAAGGGGAGGGGAGAAAGAAGGGAGGAGGGGGGATCATTCCATAGACTCTACTTAGATAAATCTATCCATTTCAAAGAAATACAAGTTATGCAGTTATATGTCACCCAAAGCAAAAGTGAAGATAGTCCTATTTAGAGATCTAAAGCCACTTTTCAAGTTCATTATTTAAAAGTGGACCATGACCCTAAGTCATGGCTATAAAGATGCTATCTTGGGGACTGGAGAGATGGCTCATCGGTTACTAGCACTTGCTGCTCTTGCAAAGGATCCATATCAGGTGGTTCACCACTGCCTGTAACTCCAGCTCCAGGGGATCTGATGTCTTCTTCTGGCCTCCCAGAACACCTTAACTGATGTACACACACACACACACACACACACACACACACACACACACACGTAAAAATAATAAAATAAATCTTTAATAAAGGATAATACACGAGAAAAGGGAGAATGAAAGACATTTTATCATCTATTGTACACCAAGAAGTGGTACGGCTAGGACAATAGATGGAACCGGAGACCATTGCCTTAAGTGAAATACATCAGCCCCACAAAGAAGACTTCACATTTTCTCTCATATGTGGGGCTTAGGAGAAGGAGGAAATGGCAAACAAGGACATGAAGCTAAAATGGGGGCTACTGAAATGTGAAGGGGGGAGAGGAGTAAGGGAGCGTAGAGGTCACTGTGATCAGACCACACTCTGTGCATGTCTGGAATGGAAATGCCGTAAGTGGAATTCCTACTCTACAACAGACATGCACAATAAAAGGGGTCTGGGTCTGGGGAGATGGCTCAGTCGGTAAAGTGCTCGTCCTGGAAACATGAGGACCCGAGTTCAGTCTCAGGGAACCCAAGTAAAAAGTTGGGCACAGGGTCCACACCTATAATTCCAGCACTGAGGAGGTGGAACAGCAAGATCCTTGGGGCTTGTTGGCCAATCTGCCAAATCAACGTGCTCCAGGTTCAGTGAGAAACCCTGTCTCAAAAAAATAAGGTGGAGAGTGACTGAGAAAGACACCCAAAATTGGTGCACACATGCACACACACGCACGCACACACAAGCATACAAACACACAAGAGGGGCCAGGTATGTAACTCAAAGTCCTGAGTTGAATCCCAGCACTGGATAAAACCAGGCATGGAGACATACATGTAAAGTCAGCATTGGGAAGGTAAGAAGCAGGAGGATTAGGAATTCAAGGTTATCCTTCACTGCATAGCAGGTTCAAGGACAGGAATGTATGAGGCCTTGTTTTACAGAAAGGAAAGGGAAAAAAAAAAGAGTAAAAAACAATATCAAAAACCTAAGGATGTGGGCGTCAGGGGAATTGAGAAGGGAGACAAAATGCCGGTCAGTCTGCGGGGAGTGTGTAAAGTGACCTCTGTAAAGTCGGGCGCCATGGAGCGATGTCTCGTCATTTCTTTTATTCTTTAAATTAAAAAAAATTAACTGTTGAAATTAACTTGCAGATGTTTCTTGGACCTTGGCCTGGTGCCAGCGTTATGCTGTACCTGAGGCAGTCACGTGGAGGCACTGACATTAAGGCTGCTTTCTCTCTCCCTCTCTCCAGGCCGGCAGGCTGGGGAGATGCCGCTTCTCCTTTGGTTTCACTTCCCGGCTCTTACTCTGTTTTAAAATATGCTTGGGCCTTTCTGGTTGCTCATTAAGTACCTACGGGCCACAGAATCAGGACGAACGGAGCAAGAAGGGAACCGTTTCCTCTGTGTCTCCAAATCACTGGCATTTCTAAACCCAGGCCCAATGAAGTCTGTAGGCAGGAAAGGTTTTTCTCTGCTCACTTTTAAGCAGGGCACAGTGGAGATCCTGTGATTAAAGCTCATTGTCTGAATGGCAGAGCTCCTGGCCCACTGTGCCCTGTCATTGTCCTGGCTCTTTCTGATTCAATTAGGGACAGCACACTGGGGGACTTATGCCTGGTTTCCAGGGACCTAAGACTTTTATTTTTATCCCAAACTAACTTGGTTTTAAACAAAGCTTTGAAGCTTCCCAGGGCCAATCTTTAACGGAAATGGAGAGGGAACTAAAAAAGGGTGAAACGAATTCCAGTGAAAGCAGCTGAAGAGTTAATTCAGAGAGGCTGGACAGCTGTAAAGATGAAAACGCCATTTTAAACAGGCAGGATGGATTCAGCGGAAACATTCAAAATTTAACAGTGAGATGGTTGGCTAAAAACCCATTTGGTTTTTTACACTTTACTAATCTTCCTGCTGCTACCTAGAATATCTTTTTTTAAAAAAAAAAGAAAAAAAAACTAGACTATGAAAGATAAATCAGAAATTATTATTAAATCATACGTTCTGTAAAGACTAAGCAGTGTTACTAAGACTAAGAATACAAAAATCATTACATCTAAATCCTGCATTGCCTTCATTCTTTCTACTTTCTGGAGATACCTTTTCCCTGAAAAAATTACATGAATCCCAAAAAGGCAAAAAGGTTAATTTTAGGGACTCGCCGTGAGAGCTGATCAACTCAGAGTGAGGAAAAAGAACACAGATGTGCAGATCAGTGTTGAAGAAACAGCAAAGAATGACATATTCAGTCTTTAAAATCTAGATGACTGCTAAATTAGAACCAGGTCAAGATAAACTGAGACTCTGCAACATATGGTTCTACGTAGCTCCAGTGAGCAGTTCCAAAACAGCACCCCACATTAGAACCAGCTTATCAAGTTTGCATTGTTTGCAGTGGTTAGAAACTTTCTAGGAAACATACCCCTTTCTTATTTTACATTTAAACGAATTTACCCCAGCCCCACACAGCTGCACATCGCTGACTTCTGTTACACACCTATACTTTTCTCTGTCTTCCTCTTCTTGGGTATCAAATATCTTCCATTGGAAATGGGCAATGATATTGCTGCGGTTGTGAATGGTTATACTCCGCTGATTGGCCAGAGATACGTAGGTTTTCTCCATGATCAAGGAATTCTTGTCCAACCTTATGTTCACATCTATGGCAGCTCCATAGAGACACACAAATACTGTTTCACCTAGGAATTAGCAAGCAGAAACACACTTTAAGATTGATTCTAGGCTGGGGAGATAGCTCAGCTGATAAAGTATTTGTCATGTAAGCATGATGCTTCGGGTTCAATTCCTCAGTCCACAGAAAAAGCTGGGTGCCTGTAACCCCAGCACTGGAGAGGAGACAGGCAGATCCCTAGGGCTCACTGGCTAGCCTATAGCTATGTTGGCAAGCCTCAGGCCAGTGAGAGACCCAGTCACAAAAACAAGGTAGACAGTGATTGAGGAAGACACATGACATTGACCTCTGGCCTCCACAGGTACATACACACACACACACACACACACACACACACACACACACACACACAATTTATTCTAGAATGATACTTCTGGCTTTCTTCTTAACTGAAAGTTCCCCCAGTTCATCAATACAGAGTCAGACATGATCAGAAAACTTAAATACTGTCCTTTGTAGAAGTTATATAAAATCAAACTGGCTTTCTTGGTCATTGTAAGAAACAGGAAGCACATAATATATGAATTTCTGTGGTAGGTGCTCTTAAGAGATTTTCTTCTTCATAAATACTTTTCAGTCTTACAGCCTGACCAGGAAGGCAATTGACCTCCAGAATTACAAACGTCTCCCTCATCTTTAGCTCAGACATGAGCTGTTTCTCTAGTTCTAAAAAGACTATCAAATATACCTGGGAAGGGCTGCTTGGCATGAGGAAATTTAAATCCAGATACAGATAGGGATCAGCAAGGAAAATCTAGTACATTCAAAACCAGAAACTAAAAGGGACCTAAACAACAATTAAAGCAACACGCATCCACAATACCACGTCCGGGTAGTAGGTGCATAGAAAGAAGTCAAAAGTAAATACTATAAAATATTCTTTTAAATATTAAGAGCACATTTATTGAACACAGCAATGTAAGTCCCCAAGCATTCAAGATTCACCAGTTATTTTGATTCTAGGTGTGTGAGGCCCCTTGGATTTCAAGAAGGTACAAACCTAAACCTCCAAACTATTCTTTTTGATCCTGTAATGCCACAGCAATTATGTCACTCTAACATCAAAATGGAGAAAGGATACACTTAAGTACTGTGTATGATTTACAGATCGGTGTTGTAAAAGTCTGTGCCAGAATCCAGGAAGCATAATCATTTGCTCCTTGCTTTCAGCAAACATTTCTGATTTAATAACAACAGAATATGAACCAAACAGCCACCTTCATAAATTGACAACCCAAATTTTGATAAACCGGTTCCAGCGTATGCCGCCCTTTTGGAGCTGCTCATTCAAACTGTGTGGAACTGAACGCTGTCCATTCTTAGCTACTCTTGACCGGATTATAATTTAGCAGAAATTTAGATTTTAAAGGCCAAATAGGTCATTCTTCACTTCTTCTCCACACGCATCTACATATCTATATTCCTTTTAGTAACCATATACAAGTAGATGGGTTTCATAGTTCCTAAAACTTCTACCAAAGTTTAAAGAAAAAGTAACCATCAAGCCTTTGAATCTAAAATGTAAAGATTA